CCGACAACCGCCGTCCCAATACAACCAGCGTTCCCGCTCGAGAATTCGTTTCGTTTTACGCTGGACTAGCGCCCTACTCTCTTCAGCCTTGGCGCCGCTCCCAGCAACAACAGCGGCCCTGCTCGAGAGTTCCTCCCTTTCTATTCAGGGCCAGGTTCTTGCCTCGCTGCCCACAGCCCTCATCCCCACCAAGGCAATCCTGTCGCTCGATAGTTCCTTGTGCTTTACCCTTGGCTGGGGCTCTACTGGCGGTCTCGCATCGGCGCAGCAAGGCGCTGGCATGCGTTTTCGAGGCGGGATATGTTGAAATTCCTCGGAGGAGGTTTTTGCAAGACCGCATTGGGCGGGAGATCTGGGAATGGGATTAACGGACCCCGCTATCGAACAATAGTCCCCCATGATGGGGATGGTTATCATGATGGTCGCATGTTTCGTGTGGAAACATCGCGCATGAGGGTAATATGATTGTTGTTGTTATTGTTGCTGTTCTTTTTGGTATTGTTGTTGTTATTGTTGTTATTGTTATTGGTGTGGTTGTTGTTGTTATTGTTGAATGCTCGTTACTAAACAATGGTTATTGTTGGACCCCTTACAGGCGCCCTGGCGCTCTCGCCGAGGCGCCGGCTGCATTTTCATTGAACATGAGGCTCACTCTCAAGCGGCTTGGGGGACCGCCAAAACCGGCCCCCCAACTACAACAACAACAACAACAACAACAACAACAACAACAACAGCAACAGCAACAACAACAACAGCAACAACAACAACAACGCTCCCGTTCGAGACTTCCTCCTTTTTTACTCAGGGCTGGTGCTCTTGCTCGCCGCCGAAAGCAGCCGTCTCAACAAAACCATTGCTCCCGCTCGAGACTTCCTCCCGTTTTGCCTTGGACTGGCGCGCGACTCTTTCTCTCATCGGCGCCGTCCCCCAGCAACAACAACGCTTCCGCTCGAGACTTCCTCCCTTTTTTACTCAAGGCGGTGCTCTTGCTCGCCGCCGACAGCCCCCGTCCCGACAAAACCAGCGTTCCCGCCCGAGACTTCCTCCCGTATTACGTTGGAATGGCGCCCTTTCCTTTTCTTCCTCCTCCTCCTCCTCCTCCTCCTCCTCTTCGTCCTCGTCCTCGTCGTCCTCCTCCTCATCCTCCTCCTCCTCCGCCTTCTCCTCCTCATCATCGTTTTCCTCCTCCTCCTCCTCCTCCTCCTCCTCCTCCTCCTCCTCCCCCCCATCCCTCCTCTTCCTCCCTCTTCCTCCTCCACCCCCCTCTCCTCCCTCCTCCTCCTCCGTCCCTCTTGCCTCCTCCTCCCTCCCCCCTCCTCCTCCTCCTCCTCCTCCTCCTCCTGCTCCTCCTCGTCCTCCCTCCTCCTCCTCCTCCTCCTCCTCCTCCTCCTCTTCCTCATTTTCCTCCTCTTCCTTCTTCTCCTGCTCCTCCTCCTCCTCCCTCCTTCCCCGTCTCTTCCTCCCTCTTCCTCCCTCCACCCCCCCTCTTTTCCCTCCTCCCTCCTCCCTCTCCCGTCCCTCTTTCCTCCCTCCTCCGCCCTCCTCCTCCCTCCTCCTCCCTCCTCCTTTCCCTTCTCGTCCCCCTTGTCTCCTCCCTCCTCATGCCTCCCTCCTCCCTCCTCCTTCTCCCTTCCCCTTCCGTCCTCCCTCGTCGCTCCTGTTTGATAATTCCTCACCTTGTACTCAAGACTGGGGCCCTCGTTTCGGCATCGCCTCTGGAGGGTTTCCAAGAGTCCCTCTTGAATCTTAACCCTACAATAACTATCATTGTTGGAGGGCATAGATTATGTGGAGGAGGAGGAGGAGAAGAAGGAGGACGGATGACTTCCTGGGAATCCAACGATCGAGGGTCGAAGGGTTGATTTCAGGGATTCCTTGAGAGGGTGTGGAGGGGCAGGTGGAGGGCGCGAGCATGGGAGCGGCAGCGCTTGGGGGCGTGAGCGTTCAGGGCCACCCGCCGAGGCCGCAGGATGGTGGCGCAACACTTCGAACGAGGAGTAACAACCACCTCGTCCTCGGAGGTACTGCTACTACAACTAGTTCTCGCTCCTCCACCTCCTCTTCCTCCTCCATTCTCCTCCTCCTCCTCCTCCTCCTCCTCCTCCTCCTCCTCCTCCTCCTCTCCCTCTTCCTCTCCCTCGTTTTTCCTCCCCTTCTCGTCCTTTTCCTCCTCCACCGAGATGCGAGGCGCGCGTGGGGCGATTGCGATGGCGACGTTTAGTCCGAACTGTGGATGTCGAAATTCCTCGGGAGAGTCGGTGGCGATAGTTTCTGCGGCGGCAGATCTGGGCGAGGGAATAGCGGGCCCCGCCTGCCAGAGAAATCCCACATGATGGGGCGTGGTACCCAGAAGCAGGGCTGGACCTAAACGGTGTTTCTGGTGATTTCGTGGGCCGCTTTCGTTTCGACTTCGCTCTGCAGCAAAAGCGAATCCGAGACAGAAGCGAGGGGCGACGAAAACACAACGAAACGAAAAACACCGTTCAGGTTCAGCCCTGTCCGGGAGGGTGCGTGTGACATGTGGAAGCGTGGCGAATGATGGTAAAATGATTGTTGTTGTTGTTGTTGTTGTTGTGGTGGTCGTTGAACTTTCACCTTTGAAGAATAATAATTGTTGATCCCCCCCGTCCGGCGCACGTGTTTTTTCGATTGAAGTGCCCTTCCCAGGGCTCGCGCCTTGTTTTTCATCAGGGAAGCTCTTGAAGATTAAACTGTGTCGTTGGCCCCCGGCTTGCAACAACAGCGGCTCCCGCCTGATGTTTCCTTGCAATGTATTGAAGAATCGCGCTCTCGCTTGGGGCCTCCTGGCAATTTACCACCGGGTCGCGGCTCCCGCTTGATACTTCCTCACACTTTATTGAAGAATCGCGCTCTCGTTTGGGGTTTCCGCGCTCCTCTCGACACGGTCGCAGTTCTGATTATCCTTCCGCCCCATTCTCCCAACACCCCGCTTCTTTTTCAGGGTTCCGCAGAATTTGTTTCTGACACCAGTTTGCAGCTGGACGTCCCCCCGTGGGGGTATCCACGATATGTTCTTTCAAGGGTGGGTACGTGGCGCTGTTTATGGCGCGACCCATGGCGAAGCTTGTTGTTAACCTGTGTTGGAGTGGCTGGCGCAAGCCGTGGCGCAAACTGAATCGCCACTCGCACCGCAAATCATCGTCCCCCCTCCTTCTTGCCCCCCCCTCCCTTCCTCCGATCCCTTCGTCCTCATTATCCCCAGTTATCGGTGGCCCTTCGTTTCCAGGGGTTTCGCCAACCACGCGTGACAGGGAATGAATATACCCCCCAAAGCGGGGTGCGATCGAATACGGAAAGGGCGGGTATCCAGGGTTTGGGATATGCACATTGAGTGACACGCGAGCAAATAAGAGCGAACAGTCTTAAAATCATTGTTGCTGCCGTCGTTTATGCACTTCTAGAGAACGGTTACTGTTGATCTCCGGAAACGGCTCCGCGCGCTTTCGCCTCGACGCCGGCCACTTTCTGTGGAGACGATGCTCCCGCGCGAGCGTTTGCTGAGTCTAAAGACGACAACGGCTCCCGCTCGATATTTCTTCGCCGTTTGCCCGGAGACACCCTGGCCAAAGAGGCCCCCGAACTCAGGAATGGCGCTTTCGCTCGAGACTTCTCGCGATGCAGTCAAGTTGGCGGAGGCCCAGCCAAGACGACACGGGCTCCTCGATACTTCATCACGATTTGTTTCGAAAGCCCCTGGCCAGGAGAACCCCCGAACTCAGGAACGGCGCTCTCGCTCGAGAGTTTCTCGTACTTTAGGCAAGTTGGTGGAGGCCCAGACACGGCGACAAGGGTTCCCGGTCGATATTTCTCCATCGGTATTCCGAGAGCCCCTGGCTAGAGAGGCCCCCGAACTCAGGAACGGCGCTCTCGCTCGAGACTTCCTCGCACTTCAGTCAGCGGCCGACACAGAAGATATCTTCCCCGAAAGGGGGTGCAATCGAGGACGAAGTGGGCGGGTATCGCGGGTTGGGGTATACAGAGCGCAAGACACTCGTGCCAGTTAGAGCGAAGAGTCTTAAACTGGCTTTAGTTGTTGTTGCTGTTGGTGTTGTTGTTGTTGTAGTTGTTGTTGTGGTTGCTGCTGTTATTATACTTGTTGTTGTTGTTGTTGGTGGTGGTATTCTTGTTGTGTAGTATCAACCGCTTGATGCGATCTTCCACTATGAACTTTCTCGGTCCTTCCTAAGCTGTGTTCCCGCTGCAGCCCGGGGCCTAATCTGAGGATCGGGGCTCGGCTCCCGTCGCTCAGGCTGGCGATCTCGCCCCAGCGAGGGCCGCTCTGCTCTGGAACCGAGTCCTTCTTCATCGTTGTGGCCCCCCCTCCTTTTCCTCCCCCGCCTTCCCATTGTCCTCCTGCTTCTCCCGCTCCGCTCCTGCAGTTTTGCTGCTGCTGTTCGTCCTCGTACTCCTCCTTCCTTATCATCCTCCTTTTCCTCCTGCCCATCCTCCTGCTCATCCTCCACCTCCTCCTCCTCTTCCTCCTCCTCCTCCTCCTTTTCCTCCTCCTCCTCCTCCTCCTCCGCCTCCTCTTTCTCCTCCTATACTCACAGATCCCAATCTCCGACTGCGCATCACGCGGTGGGGCCATTTTTGGAGTTCCAGTCCGCTGTGACACGCGTCTGCGGATTGAAAAACAATCAGCGCAATGGGGAGGGTATGGGCGGGAGGGCTGGGTCGGATGTCGGATATAGCGCGAGCGCACCTCGCTTGCCTCTCCCCATTCGCCCCTCTGCCCCTTACAATTCCTTAGTTTATTCACCTAAGTACACAGGCTCACTCTCTGCTCCCTCTCTGCTCCCATACTCCAGGATTAGGGGATGAGGGCTGGGGTTAGATGGGGAAGTGGGAGGGAGGGAAGAGGGAGTGAGAGAGAAAAAGGAAGTCGGTGACGAGGAACAGATCTCTTTACCCTCCCCTTCTTCCTCCCCGCCCGCCTCCGCCTCGTACTCCACTTGGTCCTCCTAATGGCCTCCCTGCTCAGGTGGCGCTGGGTCTGCTGGAGTTGACCTTCCCGATCCACGAGGCATCTCGGCGACGTCGCCACCGTCGGCGCCGTCGTCGTCGACTTCGTCGTTGTCGTCGTCGCCCTCGTCATCGCCGTCGCCGCTGTCGCGGTTGTTGTTGTCGTCATGAATGTCGTGGTCGTCGACGCCGGGGCAGTCGCCACCACTTCACGAGAGGCCATCACCCAGGAGGACTTCAAGGACTTGGCCAGGGCCGAGGCCGCCAGACAGCGCATGCAGGACGTGGCGGCCCTGACGCGGCAGCTGGGGGACCTCTTCGGCAGGGGTGGCCTGAAGCCGAGGGCCATGAAGAGCAGCGGGGGCGACGACCCGCTGGCTCCGCAGGTGACCTCCAGAGGCCTCCGAGAGGCCTCCGAGAGATCTCGCGGAGGGGCCACGGCCACGACGTCGAACTGAGGGCCGCTGGGGGCTCGTGGGGGGGGAGGCTCTGAATTTTTGGGGCCGCTCCCACGATCCAGGTCGGGGAGTCCATTCGTGGCCGACGCGCGCCGTGGCCTGAAGATCGCCTTCGGTCCTCTGCTCAGCGTGCCTCACAGCCGTACGCTGGAGGCTCTGGAGGCCGCCGGGTAGACCTCCCAAGGGCCCCCTGTGGCCTCCGCAGAGACCTGTGGGGACCTCCAGTCGGGTGCTCGTAGCGGTTCGGGAACGAGCCCGGCTAGAGGATCACATTTCTTTCTGCCAGGGCCGTCCAGAGAGATTTTCTGCGAACCCGCCCTTCCCGGGAACTTCCCCACCTTTATGACCCCCCGATCCTGAGCCCCTGGAGACCTCTAGAGACCTCTGGGAGGTACGCAAGACGGATGAGCGGCGCAGGGGGAGGGTCCCTCCAGCTCCTCCTCCTAATTACTCCCTCCTCCTCCTCCTCATTTTTTTTGTTTATTCTTCTTCTTCTTCTTCGTCGTCCTCTTCCTCCTCCGTCATTCTCCTTCCGCGTTCTGCTCCTGCTCCCTCTCCTCCTTCTCTCCTCCGCCTCCTCCTCCTCCTCCTCCTCCTCCTCCTCCTCCTCCTCCTCCTCCTCCTCCTCCTCCCCCCTCTCACTGCCGCTCCCGCTCCTGCTCCTCTCAGGTCCCCCCCCCATGCGGGCAACGACAGGTCTGGCTCAGCCGTGGGGGGGGGGGCGCATCGACTCCCAACGTGCCGACTCCTCGTAGACATCAGCGGCGAGCGGGGTGGGGAAGCCTCCCGGCATCCTGGGAAGTTCTTGAAGCCTCCCCCGAAGACACAGAAACTTCTCAGAAGGCGCGAGGGCTTCCGAGAAGTCGCGCCGCCTTCTAAGCGGGCCGTCTCCTTCGCACTTCCCCCCCTCGCTCGCTGCCGAAGAAGACAGGGGCCCGATAGCCTACCCCGCTCAGGAACATGCGGTTTCGCAATCGGGGCTTCTTGCCGATCCATCGGCGATGTATCGCCGGTTTGAGCTTCGTTCCCCCCCCAAGCCTGGCCCCCCCTATCGCCCCGCCCCCCTCGTGCCCTCGTGTCCCCACCCGTAAGACCCCTTCTCTCTCCATCGCCGAGGTGATGAAGATGCTGGAGAAGTCCGTCAACAAGCAGAAGAAAAAGGACAAGAAGAAGGGCGGCGCCCCCTCCGCGGACCCGGGGGCCGAGGTCCAGAACGCCGCGCGCGCCGCCTGGGAGGCCGCGCAGGGCCGCTGCAGCCAGCTGCTCGGAGAGGAGGTCGCCGTGGGCGGGGGGCATGTCCAGGCGTGCTTGCGTCGTGAGGGCGTCGCGGGCCCAGGAGTCGAGGCTCGAGGCTCGAGGTCTTCGGGCGATCTCGGCGCTTCTCCCACGTCTCCCAGCCTCGGGGTGCTCCCCAGCAGCTGCGCCTCGCCGTGGGCGTTCCTGGGGTGCCCAGGTCGGGCCCACGACGGCCCGAAGCCGCCAGAGAGCGGAGTCATGGCCCGAATTACGGCGCGAGGTTCCTGGTCCGTCAACGAAGCAAACGGGTCGGAATGAAACATCGGCCTTGGGGAGAGGGTCGGGGTTTCTAGGGGGCCAGGTATTGAAAAACAAGACGGTGGATGTCTGGGTCCGTACCCGCAGCCTCGAGGTCACGACTCCTCTGCCGCAACCTTGTGGATGCCGGGCGGCCTTGTGCGGATAGCCCGCGCGGAGCGCTCTTCCGTGGGATCGCGTCTCCGCGGAATCGCGCTTCGGAGGCCATACCGCGGGGTCGTGGACATGGGCTGGGCCCTCTAGGCCAGGACGCTGCAAACCAGGACTGCGACAAATCCACCTGGAGCGAGCGAATGATGGAGCATATGTTTCGACCAACGGCTGTAGCTTGCTGGGGCGCGCCAATGTTCTGGTTTATCGAAGTCCCCCTTTGAGGGCCTGAAATGGACTGGGAGGGACAAAAGTCATTGCGCCAACTTCGCAGAGCAGATTTCGATCGAAAACATCAGGAAGAGCCCCGGATCGTCTTTGATTGTTGTTCCGGATCTGTCAGTCGGGAAAGGAGACTTGAAAACGTCCAAGTGAAACTCACTGCATTTTCGCTCGCCGTTCTGGGATGTTTCATTTGTAGAAATACACTGTCACTGCAGCCCGTCTGCAACGCTAGAGCCATGACAAGAGTATCGGTGGCGCGCGCGCGCGTCGTCGTCGTCGTCGTCGTCTCTCTCTCTCTCTCTCGAGACGACGCGCGCGCCACCGTTCGAGATCTCAAACTCTGCGCGCTGTCTCGCCCGCTCCTTGTGCAGCAGGCTGGTGCTCCGCGAGCCGCAAAGCAGCGTGTCGCGCCGACGGCCAGCCCCTGGCTGGCTGCCGCTCCACGCCAACCTTGCCCCGTGGTTCGCCACCGTCGCCCACCGCGCTCTGGACCGGCGCGCCTGGCTGCCGCCGCCCGCCGGCAGCTCATCGCCTGAGCGTCCCTCCTTCCTCTCGTCGGCCTCCCTCCCTGCACGCCTGCCAACTCGCTACAGTGCCGTTTTTGATACATGCTCCGCGTGCGGATCATGTATTAAAAAATGCAGGGATTCAGTTTACAAAAACAACGATGAGTTCATGCATACATTTATTCATGAGTTAATAATGTGTTAAAATCTCAAATTTTAAAGATCAGTTTCATAATGTGTTAAAATCCCAATGACGTGTTAAAATCCAAATTTATACGTTTATTCATGAGTTAATACTGTGCTAACATCCCACAAAATGTTTTTAAATCCCACATTCATAATGTGCTAATAATGTATCAGAAGCTGCCCTGTAGTTGGTGCCCCGACCCAGCTGTTGCGCAGGCGCGGAGTTCGCCGCCTCGCCGCCTACGGGCAGGCCGCGCCGCCGGCTCAGGCGCCCACCGCGCCTCGGCGCGGCACGCCGGCCGCGGCTCCCGCCCCCGGGCGTCGAGTCTCCCGAGCCTCTACCAGCCAGAGCGGCGCGACGCGCGATGTCCAGGAGACGGAAAAGCACACACAGGCACAAGTCGTCGTCGATCCCCCAGGCTCAAATGTGTGAAGACAATCATCTGGGGAATCCTTCTCTTCATTCGCGACGTTCAGAGATCGTCCTCTTTGTGCCCAAGGCTTATGTGTACTGGGGAATGTACTGGGGAATCGACAGTTGAATGTGGCACAAATAAACGTACACAATCGTCAAAATATGAAATTCCACAGACACACTATGGGAAGATATGGGGAATCCTTTAATTTGTCTACGTTTATTCGTGTGTCTCTGGGCCCCTTCACACGGCTCCGTCCCCAGGCGTCAAATCTCCCAAGCCTTTACCAGCCAAAGCGGAGCGGCACGCGATCTGCCCCCGCAGGGCCGCCGCCGCGGCACGCCCAGCACAACTCCCCGACCGCATGTTCTCAGCCACGCGCAGAGGGGGGTGGGAGGGGGGATGGCTTCTTAGAAACACCCCTGCTTCTTAGAAGGCGCGGGGCTTCTCTGTAGATGTAAGGCTGGCGCCTTCTAAGAAGCAGCCTCCTTCTAAGAAGCCCTTCCCCCTTCCTCCACCCCCTTGCGCGCGCCGCCAATGCTCTCCGAGCGGATGCATTTTTTTCCACCAGAGATCGGGCTCTGCCGATGGCGCGAATCCCGTGTCGGCCCTCGCTGCGCCGCCTACGTCGCATTGCAGGGCCTCGGCGGAGAAGCACACGTTGGCGCCAACACGCGTTCTGAGGATCATCGAGAGGCGCAGATGGCTTCCAGAGCACCCCCTGCGAGGCCCAGAAGGGCGCGAGGAGCTGAGAGCACCTCGGGCTGGGGCCACTTCGAGCAGCTGCCGAGGCGAGGTCTGAGAGGAGCAGCACCATCTAGCCGCCGCCGCCCCGGCACGCTGAGCCGAAGTGCGCGGCCAGCCGATGGAAAAAACACATGATGCCATCAAGAACGAGAGGACCCCAAATCCCAGCAGCAAGATGAAGACGTGGCCTCACTGAGGTCCCAGTCCTAGAGCTGGGTTCATCGGTCTGACACCTCCGCAGAAGAAGCAGACCCTCTTTATCCCTGATGTTGCTGGCCCTCCCAGCTTCGGGCCCCTCCCAAAGGGTTAGGGGTCTTTGTCTTGCTTATCACGATGGGGATGCCGTCGCCGGCGCTTTGTTGGGGCACGCGCCAGCCTTTGCCGCCAGGCCCGGGGCCCCAGGGAGGCTCCGAGCATCTGTGCTGCCTGCCGCCGCTTCTGCGAGCAGCGCCGCCGCTCGGTAGCGAGAGTCGTTGGTCTGCGGCGCGCCGAGGGGGGAAGTGAGAAGGAGAAGGCCTTCTCAGAAGGCTCGGAGGCCCCCCGGCCTTCTGAGAAGTCTTTTGAGCTCTCCCAGGAGACGCAGGAACTTCTCAGAAGGCGCGAGGGCTTCCGAGAAGTCCCGCCGCCTGCCGAGCAGGCCGTCTTTTTCTCATTTGCCCCTTCTCGCTCGCCGCCGAGTTGGAGCCTTGCGTGTTCTCGAAATTTCGCTTCTAGAGCGCACTTGCGTGCGATAGCGTCTGGATATCGATGGGAAGTCGCAGAGTAAGCGTTGACTTGGCGTCGGCTAGCGTCGATGAGCGTCGATTTATCAGAGACAACGAGATGACTTGGGAGGCGACCGTGAGTTGCCCAGCTTAGGCGTCGAATCCCCCCCCCCCCCCCTGCGAAACTCACCATCTCATCCTCCGCCCTCTTTCTTCTCGCTCCCCCCTCCCTCCTTCGTCCCTCCCTCCCTCTCTGCCTCTCCTCTCTCTCTCTCTCTCTTTCTCTTTTTTGTTGTTTCCCCCCACCCCTCTCTCTCTCTCTTCCCTTTGTTCCCGTCGCGCGGCGGCTGTCTTCTCTTTACTGAGTAGCCTTCCCAGTCCAGACCTGACTGATGGTGGCGGTGCTCGGCCTGGGGAGGGAGGGGGGGGAGCATAACAAATCATATAGTTTTTTGTTTTGTAAAAAAGCCCCCCCCCAGGAGGAGCAGGAGCAGGAGGAGGAGGAGGAGGAGGAGGAGAGGGGGAGGAGGAGGCAATTAGTATTAGTATTGTTATTATTATTGCCACTGCTACAGTCACTATTACGATTTTTATTATCACTATTACTATTACTTTTACTATTATTATTAGTATTATTAATATTATTATTACTATTACTACTACTACTACTACTACTACTACTACTACTATTACTACTATTACTACTACTACTACGACTACTACGACTACTACGACTACTACGACTACTACGACTACTACTACTACTACTACTACTACTACTACTACTACTACTACTTCTATCACTGCTACTACTACTACTACTACTACTACTACTACTATTACTACTACTACTACTACTACTACTACTACTACTACTACTACTACTACTACTACGACTACGACTACGACTACGACGACTACTACTACTATTACTATCACTATTACTAAGATTATTAGTATTATTGTTATTCAGACTACTGCTAGTACTATAACTACCACTAATACTACTACTTCTTGTGTTACTACGGTTGCTACTACACCTACTACCTGTGCTACAACGACTCGTGCTATTACCAAGATCCCCACGACTACCACTACGACTGCTAGTGGTACGATTACTACTGCAGAGCTACCCATACACAACTGACATTACGGCCGTATGTCAGTGATGCGAGAGTATTAAATTAATATTACTGCTACAGCCAGAATTCGACCATTACACATGGTACTACAGAGTTTCTACAGTGCCAGGGTTCTACATTAACAATATACTAGCACTACGGTGCTACCGTGGGACTACTACAGCCAGTGCGAGGGTATCACGATTATGCAGTCGTAGAATATTGCCACTACCGGCATATTCTTACAGTACTGCAACTACTAAGTACGCCTGCAATATGATTCCTGTACTACAGCACGTGGGTGCCACTATTGTGCTACAGCGCTAGAGAAACATTGAAGTACTACTGCATCCAGTATTCTGGTTACGATTACCACTTCAGTTCTAGAGTTCTACAAGTACTACCACTTCAGTGCTGCATCTTCAGGATTGCAGTACGGCGGTGCTACTACCGCTACACTAGTAGGAGTACGGCCTCTACAGCCAGTAGTAGGGTACAAGTGCTACTCCACTATTGGGGTGCTGCTGCGACCGCTGTGTTATTACATCGCTCTTACCTCTGCTGCAACGCTAAGAAGAAGACTGCTACGACTGGTATTATTCGTGGTACTACTACTACTACTACAGCACGGGTCATTCTTTGGTATAGCAGCACTCGGGTGCTACT